AACATCAGTTCAAAATAACTTACAACGATTGCGTGGCACACAATACATATAAGACTCAGTGGTTGAAATGCGATATGGACAATTTACTGTAGTTACGATCTCTGACAAACAGTATATGACAATGGTAGGTACTTTATGTGTTACTGTCATTATAATGACTCACAAATCCAATCCGCAGATCAAAAGCCAACTTTGAACATTCTGCAGAGAACTTTAATCCCCATACTACCAAATTAAGATTTACAAGAAGATCAATTGAATTTCACCTTGTATCAACTTAAAACTACTACAATCCTTACTTTTCTAAACAATTTCAACTTTGATGTGATGAGTTTCATAATCTTTTCATTTACTTTTTGCTCCCAGAAAGTATTGATTTTAACTGATTATTATAGTATGGAATCTTTTTTTTTTCTACGAATAAAACTATAGACATCATCGAGATGGTGACATCTCAAAGGGTCGCGCTTTTGGCAAAGGACATAAGAATGAAAGACCCTTTATCCAAGGGCACTCAGGGTGCTATAAATTGCTATAACCTTGACCATTAGCCTAGAAACTTGGTTCAAGAACAGTGCACATCCTCTACTCAAAAGCACTTTATGGGTGAAGTTTGAACCCAACAGGGCCATAGGGAGAGAAAATATGCTATTGACTAATGAAATCAGATGGACAGATGGATGGACAGACTGACTGACGGATCGATCACTACAGGGTACTTGCAGAGCAGGGCCCTTAAAAAATTCACTGATATCATATAGGATTCTGAATTTGAGAAAACAATGAATGATTCAAATTTCAAAGTATCCTAGCATCTAATTTTTTCTTACGTGCAACTCCTTTAATTTCAGAATTAACTATTTCTTTGGTTTTTGCTTGTTTGCTTGTTTTATGTCCCGGCCTTCAAGAATTTTAGTTATATTCGCACACCCTCAAATGCTTGTGGAAGTTTCAGACCTGTTCTCAGTACTAATTATGCAGTGTGGGATCTGTTTTGTGTCAGCACCTACTGCCTCATGTGACCTTGGTTTAAAACGGTGTCTTCCAGACGACCAGGAATTCATATTTTAATCATCGCAATCTATTCAAAGTATCTTATTAAGCTCGGCCCTGTATCTAGACAAAGACAATGCTTGTGACCATTCAACTAATAACAAATCTATGCTCCATCTCAATCTATTCAGAGAATCTAGCTCAACCCTGTATCTAGACAAAGACAATGCTTGTGACCATCCAACTAATAACAAATCTATGCTCAACTCTCAATATCCATCTTAGTTTCCTCAATTTAGCCACAGGCACTGAAAGTTAATGTAAATATATTGAGTATGTGCATGTTCAAAAAAAGAGGACCTTTTACACATGCACATACTCGATATTTATTTTAACTTCCAATGCCCATGAATTTAGCTGATCAATACAATCTTCATGGAACTATAACATTAATTTTATAAGTCTAGAAGTGGAAGGAGGCAACATCAGGACTACATAAAAGACTTTCAGAGTGATACAAATCATGATAAAGCAAACTAGTATTTGTACCTATTACTTATTTACCTTGTGACACAGAGAGACCAATTTCCCTGTCATGATGGATCTAGTATATAACACAGAGCACTCTTTTCTACCTGGGAAGGTTGCACATCAATTAATCTTTTAATCTACACAGCTCATCAATACTTTAGTTGTTTTACATATATTTACCTTATAAACAAGGCAGGGTACAATGCACAAATGGACAAAAATTCTAGATTTGAGGAACTTTGATGACAGTAAATGGATGAGCTCTGACACATGTGATCTTGTCTGTCAAGGCAATGGATGTCAGATTTAGCCTGAAAGAACAAGGAAACAAGACTAATTTTAGCAAAAGGTCACCAAAGAGGTAGAAATTGATGGACCTGTGGACCTTGATGAACAAGTTTAAACAGCTATCGTGCAACCAATCCTGAAAGCTTTCTTATTTCATTGCATTCAATTCTGCCCTTCAAACAAATTACCCAAAAAGAACCTTTCATAGACTTAACACTTTTTTTTGTTTATAACCCCTCTTGCATAAGATGTAATTGTCATCAAACTTGAGATCTGTCACATCATGAGGGCGTCATTCAATTGTGACCTTTTCTGTTGAACAAACACTTTATTAGTCTTCAGACAGAGAAAAAGCTTTAATTGGTAATTCAGTATTTAGAGTTTAACAATGTTTTCACTTCATTGGCAGCCAAACAAAGAAAACACAAATCAAGAAATGGATGATACGACTGATTCATCAAAAATAAAATACTTCTGCATTTCACTTATTTTCTGCTCCAAGTCATTTGCACAGGAAAAATACAAAGGAATTTAAGAAAAACCCTCAAACCACACAGTAAAGAGAATAAAAGGACTTTTAATTCTATCTAGTAGCATTCCGTTTACTTGTGATTGATTCCTGATATTGGATTCCAACTCCATAACCTCAAAGCCTAAACACAATCACCCTACACGGTGTCCCACAAGTTCATAGAATTACACAGATTACAAAAGGCCCATGACCTAAAAAATGACCCTAAGATATGCAAAGTACAAAAAATATTTAAACAATAGATTTCACAAATTCTAAAATGGTTAATTAAATCTCAATTTCACACACTTTCATTCTCCAATTCAATGGAGTGTGTAATGAGGCATGTGTTTCTAAATCTTTTTTTCTTATGTTATTATTCTATGATCATATCATGTATGTGTCAAATTCAGTTATACAACTCACTTTCCTCTTGATTTAGGTTTAATTATCAAGAAAATTTTATCTTCAAACAGTCTTTGAATAGATTTAAATTTGTAACCTTAAGTGGGCAAAATGTTGTTACTTGCTTGACACTAGCTATACCACAAAACAGATCATAAGACACTGCACATCAATGTGCAGATCTGTGCATTTTCTTATCGTACTGCTAAAGAAAACTTAATATGCATTCCTGTATGCACCAGAAAGCAGCTTTTTAAGAAAACTCAAGACAAAAGGACGGACTTGAGAGACTATTTAAAGAAAAGATCGATCAAACTAATTAAAATTCTGTTCCACTAGAAATAAATTGGATCTGCTGAATGTGCATATAAAATTGCACAAAAGCCTAAAGAGTTCATGAAGTGTGCACGGAAGCTTGCTGCACATTAAAGTCATCATTTTGATGGTTGCTAGATTTCTATCTTTTTGACAGGCGTTATCCTTTTTTTTCTCAGGATCTGACTGATAATCAGAACGAGAAGAGACAGTTGGTAGATTTACTACACTGCACTCAAAACATAGGAAGGTGTAAGAACGATTTGTAACTGGCACCACCAGTATCTATACCATGGTTTGATATTTATATACTTACAAAACATAGAAAAAGAATTTTTTAAGAAATGAATCCATAATATATGTGGATATGGCTTACAAACGAACTTGTCGCCCGCGTGGCACAGTGGTTAGAGCATCTGCCCTAGAGTCGTGGAGTAAGGAGTTGATCCTTACGTCGCGGGTTTGAATCCCACTGCGGGACGTAGAAACCGGTCCTTCGGCTGAGACTGTATAAACCGAGGTCCCGTGTCGCAGTACGTGCTGGCACAAAAAAGATTCCTCACTGCTCAATGGCCCTGAGTACCGAGCATAGGTCAAAATTTGTAGCCCTCCACCGGCAAGTGGTGGCGTCTCCATATGAGTGAAAAATTCTCGAGAGGGACGTTAAACAACAAACAAACAAACGAACTACAGCATTTCAAGGTTTCTACAAGTACACACATACTAACACTGATAGGGGTGTTGGCTCACTACTCTCAGATTGATTCGATTGATTTCTGATAAGAGGCATTTTCTTAAGATACATTTATAAAAACCTGTCCTGAACCAATGAATGAAATCATTTAAATTCAAGCATTTGTGGCTACTCTTGATGGTCATTTGAACTAAAAGCAGTTACCTAATGTCACCAAATTATTCAAAGAATGGGGACAGAATTTTAACATATCTATGTATTAAATCAATAAATTAATAACTGCATAAAGTACAGTTCATCATTTATCTACAATTTATATTGAATATAACACCCCCTCCCCTAAAACACAATTGCTCTCCCTCAATACATCAAGTATGGAAAAAAATGCCTGAAAAAATTTATTGGCATGCACATCATGTAGTTTCTCATGTCTTTCTACTCTGATCTTTCCTTTTGTCCATAACAACTTGCTAGTATAACATCAGGACCCCATGTTCCATACAAAATAGATTTCTCTCTTGTCAGTTAATGACCCACCAATAAATACTATTGAAATTTGGCCTCCCCTAATCCTCTCCACACATGTAGGAAATACAAATTCAATTATTTAAATGAAGCATTATTAGTTTCGTCACTTTTCAGCTCCAAGTCAGAGAACGAGTGACAGATAGGTTAAAAGATAAATACGTGAGTGACGGATGGAACACTACATAGAACCTTCAACCCCTAACAATATTAACTGGTATAATCATCGACAGGAAAAGTCAGTATTTCATGCAATACTCCTGTTTGATGATGATAAATTATTTGTGAAAGTTCTAAGGAAATTAGACAAACACGGTGCACTGTGCACACTATTCACTGCACCCTATTTAATGAAAGCTGGTCTAGACAATTCTGGGCCTACTATTTTGCTTTTTTATTTTAGTTTACCTCATGCACAAACATAGCTTTTGTGAAAACTAGACAGTATGCAGCGTGAAAGCTAGCCTTTTAATGATCTAATGCCTTTTTCATACCCATCTTAAACTAAAATTAATACCGGTAGATTGCAATTTAAAAGAAACATCAAAGAGTGTTTCAATAATAACTTGTTGTTTTTCTCACTTTTGGTCCAGAACCCATTGAATCCTAACAATTAGCCTGGACAGAGTTATTCTTCTATCAGTAATGGAAATCTTCAATATATGGAGGTGCAAAGTGGGCCCATTAATGATGCATGCAGAGTTGTCACCCTTATCTCTCTGGTACATGGGTCATTACCCCTTAATGGTTAGATCTCCAGCTGGCTCTTCTTTTGGTGGAGTTAAGAATGGCGGTAAGGTTACATCATCACCCAATAGACCCTCTCCTCATGGTGTCTTTCCAATAGAGTTCAAGTCCCAGGCCCTTCATTTACCATCACCATCTACCAAAGCAAGAAATATTTACTCAAGCTGACAGAAGATTAGCTGGAATTAATTACATACATGAGGAAGATTTTTCCTCTTAATGTCATCCATGAAGATACAAAAAACCCATCTCTAGGTTATATAACTTTTTCCTACATCACAGACATTTCATTAATGACCTGTCACAGTTTCTCTGCTTTTAGATTCGTCCATTTTCTTAAAGGGAACATTATGTAACATTCATTACATCTTATTAACTCTTTCCAGGATTTTAATTAGTTTCTTTGTGACACACATTCATTATTTTCTCATAATTTAACTCCCATCCTGTGAAAAATTAAAGAAGGTGTTAATGAAAATAAAGGGTGTGAATTAAGACATATATCAAATTATTACAGAGGATATGAAAAAATTGCTAATTAATTAACAGGTGAGGTTAATTCTTTCCAATGATGAATCCTCAGATAAGGGTAAGACTTCACATTACCTGTACAATTTGTTCATATATCCAACATCTTACCTGTAAAATTTGTTCATACATACAACATAGATGCATTAGAAAGAGGTATCTCCAAGACTCTATTATATTTTTTTTACTCAAGCAATTAATGCATAGAATTTGTCTGATTTGTGTCCAATGTTTTAGTAAATTAACATGATTATAAAATTGAATCTCTTCCCAAATACTTGTATAATACTAGTGCTGGGGAATCAAAATTTTTATACAATATAATCAAAAGTCAATCATTACATGATTAAAGAACTGAAAAGCCCAAACTTTTTACTGATCAAAATTCTTCTGTGTTTACTTAATTGTAAATAATACTAGTAATCTTTAAATCTTCCAGTCCATAGCTGCTGTACAAGGCACCACCATCAGTTTCACAGATGAAAAGAAGAATATCGAAAAACATAGAACAGAACAGAATAGAACATTTATTTTCTAATTTAGAGCCCATATATAACAGACAAGTATGAAATTATTACAATAATAAGGAAAAGATATGCCAATGGACAGTATAACAATTTGTAAATGACATTGTTCATTTCAACAATAACATTGTACTATTTCAGCTAAAGGGAATACTATATATGAAAGTGTATGGCTACTACAACATATGTACAAAGTTATTTCTAAAGGTTCTTTAGATCATGTTTTCATTTTTTTTTTCAATTTAGTCAATATGATTATGAAGATTGTAATCAATAATTGATTTGGGATGATCATCTTTAGTAGTGACTGACTTTTGATTGTTGGCATCAAATATGGTACATGTATACACTGCCATACTTTTTCTTTTATATAATTTCTCTCTATTTAATGTAAAACAAACTGAGTACAAGTACTACTAACTAGTACATTGAGAATAAACAATTTACTGTTATCTTTACAATCATGTATTTTACCCATACAACTGGATAATCAGGGATTTATTAATCAAATATACCCCACTGGTAAGATAGGATTTACTCCCTATAGTTCTATGGACAAAAACATTAGGGATCCATCACTTACAGACAGGAAAAGTCAACCACTATAATCATGGGTTTGTCTTGGGTCTCAATAACATAAACAAAACCTCTAATAACACTTTATCAAAGGGCCTTATGTCACTAGATCAATAGTTTTGTTCTGGGGGTGCTTCAAGATGCCTATAGGCCCCGAAGTAAACAAGCATTTATTAAAGGGATTAAAGAATCAAGTCAATTAATGAAAAAACCACCTGCAGGGAGGTGTAACGTTTTCTTGTTTTATGACACATTTCATAAATGAAAGGCACCAACACCCTAGTAAGCTGAAATAATAATACCTCTTATTTACAAGTTTATAATATATATAATATCAGTAATTTGTGTGTGTTTTTTCAAAATGTTTTCTTTAGAGTTTAAATTTATAATATGGCAAACTTGACACAATGCAACACAGCTAGTGTATTAAGTGGCACAGAAATTAATTTCATGCAATATATAGTAATATACTTATGTAGTATGGAAATAAATTTCAAAATTACAGGATATAAATAATAGGAGTCAACTGGTGAAGACTAATTAACAGTTTTCCACCTCAATTTATGTGTTGGCAGTTGATCGTTGACATTGTTTTAATTGTCAGCTTGTTGTAGGAAGTTCTTTATAAATCCACAAAAAGTTATTTTTAGCCACATAAAAACAGCAATGTCACCTTTCCTAAACAAAGTATGTTGAACACATTAATGTACCTTTAAAAATATCTTTGAAAATATATCAAGCTGAATGTAGTTCAATATAACAGGTGTATACAAGAATGAACCAGACCAATTGGTATTGATAAATACCTGCATGGACTCTCACACAACTTTTATGGACTGCAGGGGCCAGGGTCGTAAAAATTGGGAAAATTAACAACCTTTTAGAAATTTTGTGAAAATCTTATAAATACACATTACAATCTCACATACATTAAATTCATTACATATTGGGTTTCTGCAATCAAGTGTTTATTATCAACTTTATAAATTTCTGATTTGAAATATAGAAGAATATGAATAACAAGCTTTATAGTAATTACATATCTTATTACATGTTAATCCTTTTAATTTTTGGAGGAAGTCACAATTGGGAAAATTAACACAAATAATTAGGGGAAGGGCCTGGATTATACACTGTTCAATATTAAATGTATAATCACAAACATAAAATCACAAGCCTGCATGGGAGATTGCTGAGCTTTTGTTTGTTTGTTTTAATTATATATACACTAAAGTAATATGACACTCATCTGTTTGTAAGACACGTCGTACAGTCTAAATGATATTCATAAATAAGCTGGACCAAAAGTACACACTTGTAAGAGCTGCGTGACATTCTGTCATATGTTATGAGAGCAGCATATGATATGCTCATACTTTTATACACAAAGCTGAATCGCATGCAAGTCAGATAATTTGCAACCTGCAGTAAATTATCTCTTATGAAGATACATCAAGAATATATATATATATCACATATGTTTTATCTTGCATAAATTATTTCCTCGTCTTCTCTATCTTATTATTGAAACAATTCTTCACCCTCTTGGACTATATCTGTATGTATATATAGCTTCAGAATTTATGCTGGGCCAAAAAATCATAAATAGCTAGTGTCAGCGTAGTGTGCAATAGTCATTATTTAAACTTTTTCATGCAGAAACAATATGTTCCCTCTGCCCTCGATGTTAACCTTTGGCACATAAAAAATTCAGATAACATTTTATTTTGTAAACAACCCACCTCTGTGAATGCCCCTCTTAACTTTCCCTTTAGGCATTTATTAACATTAGAAGAAAATTATGAAGTAAACAAACTGTGTGGAATACGCAGAAAGTGACCTTATTAATGGAAAACATTCTTAACCTTCCAACTTAAGTCCATCATTGCTCCTAATCTGTTCCGACTATACTGCAAAAAGCATGAGATTGATTCTGGCAGTAATATATAAACCCAAATCATTAATCTAAGAGGTCCCAATTATACAGTGATGAGTCATTGTTTTGATCGATTTCTTACATTTATTTTTGTACATGGCCTATATTTTCTATATTTTCTGCAGAGTAGAAGTCTATCCCCTGTGCAATCCTGTAGCTGTTATTTACATATGTAAACATTGCATCAGCTGAAAACATATAACTCCACACTGTTGCATCACTTAGGTTAAAACAAAAACACACTGCTTAGTATCCAAAGGGATATAACTCTATCTGATATTAAGCATAATTTTATGGCCATGACCTTCAGTACAACATTATCTTGTCACAGTGGCAATAATACACCATTGCTTTTAATCCTGACCGAGCTTGGTAGATTTTATGAGCTTTAAAATGTCTGTGCCAACATGACTTTAATTTGTGTTCATCATTATACTTCACAATAAATGTCATCATCTATCACCTGCTGCAAAGTAAACATGCTACAAAACTAACATAGGTTGCCCTTCAACGTCTTCCTATGAATCCAGAAACGTATTAAGAGATATATTTTGCATCATTTACGTCTAACAACTGCCTCAGAAACCCAATTCTTACTTGCAGACAGGGAAAAGAATTGTTATTCAAGGCCATATGCATGTAACTGTCTGAAATCTAATAGAAAGTATACAGTTTTTTTTAAAACTAAACACTTCACATTTCTTCTTTGTTGATAATGAGTATGAAAATGCTTACATGTATATGATATATGCAACTGTACTTACATTATAGGGAAAAAATATCTGCCTCAGAGGTCATAATGTGATCTAACCAGTTTCTCTCTGTGTGTGTGTTTTTTTTTGGGTTTTTTTTATATACAACAGAAAAAAAAAATGCTTGAGGACTTGTCAGATCTATAAAGAACATTCCCATCTATAAAAAAAATCATTTTATCAACATAAATATCTTTTAGGAATTAGTAAACATATATCTATTCAGAGTCTCGCAAAGTGGAATAGAATTTCGATACTTTAAACAACCAAATAAGCTTTCTGTGAAGATAAAACTTAACAATGCTACAATTTTTAAATAGAATGGTTCTGCATAGATCATAGTTAAGATCTTTTTTTTGAGAGAGAGAGTTCATCATATATCAAGTAGATCCTTGTGCCAATAATCTTTTTGTTTACAATTCAACAAGTGGCACACATCTACACTGCCTAGCCCTCATCAGACAGCAAGTCTGTAAGGTACGCATGTATACAGCACTCTGAGCAATCTTCTGGCAGCATCATAGACATGTAGGATGCATTTCAAAGTGCTTACTTCACATTTTTTTCTTTACCATATTGAAAATGAAAAAAATTCCACTGAAAGGGTCAGCGATTGAGAGAGATCAGTGGGGGTTGGGTTGGAACTATGTTTTTACCTCCCTTTTAGTTGCATTCTGTATGACTTCCGTCTAGTTCAGGACTTAAAAGCTAAGATTGATTTAATGGACAGGCATAGGAAATAAAATAATATGCCTTATCTCTGATCTTACGACATTAAAACACAAGACCACAACCCTATCAGCTAGCCTACTTGTTTCTC